TTCTGCTATATTCTTTCAGGTTGAACACTTATTTAAATGACTTTTATGAGGAAAAATTATCATTACCACTTTCGGCACTTTCTTTCCTCTACAAGATGGCATCATCGAATTTGAAACCCGACATTTCGTCTCTGAGCCACCATCTTCAATGAAAAGTTTATACAAAAAACAATGTCAATTCTATACAATTTAACATACATACTCCTTTCACTGAAATATTTATTTTATCGATTGTTGTGATACAAATTAACAAAAAACTGAATAAAAATCCAGGGCCGACATTTAATGATTTCTTGTAAAGGAAAAAAAGCGGAACCATGAAGTGATTCGTACCTTCTCAAATAAGTCCAGTAAAAAGTGAAAACGATGTAGCCAACATTCGGTTGTTCCGGGATTTTTCTGGAACTTCGCAATCTTTCTAATTTAAAAATGGCATGTCGATGACCCCGATTTGACCTATTCAAAAGACCTTTTATCTCGTATAATTACCGAGATCGTCATACTTATGTACTTACGAAATATCAACATTCTGGGCATAAACATAACAAGGAATGTTATAAGTAAACTTCTCAGTATACCTTTGTTCTTTGTTTACCTCGGAAATTATTCGGGAAAACGTAACTTGTGCTTTTTCTGTCTGTCTGATTTTTACCATAAATTTCAGTTGGTTCAGGTGTAATCAAACAAGCAACAACTGAATTCCCGAGAAGTTATATAATAAAGTGAAACCAAACGTTCAATGCTTTTATCTAATCGGCGTCTTAAATAAGTTACAAGGGTTCATACTCTTGAACAAACTCTGCCTTAGTAACTCAAAAATAATTATAAAAATATGGTCCATCTGGGTTATTTAGACAAAATAAAATCTATTGTATATTCTTTCTATATCAATATTCTTGCCGCATATCTTTTCCGAATATGATTGTATGTGAAATTATAAATTTAAATTAGGTTTGTACCATAATTATTGACTGTATTTGTACTATATTTGTACATCTGACCATCATCAGCAAGCCATGAATCAATTAAAACAAAATCGGCAACAAACGAGGGTATTTTGCATTTCATCAAGGCTGCATTGCCACGTATGACATATTCATTTTCCGCTTCAGTCACATAGGATTGAGATACAACTGGAAAAGAACCAAAAATATTAAACGTGACTATTGCACCTACATATGTATCTATTCTTAAAGCCCCTTAACTTTTCCAAAACATAAATAATTTGGAGTTAGTTTTTGATATACAGGGTATTTTTCGAAAATGTAGCAAAATTCAATTATTTTTGCAATATTTGTGTACAAGGTGTTTCAAATTCGAGCCACATGATTGGGATCTCGGAGCTCGGAAACGGTGAGAAATACAGGGGTTGGGTTGGTTGAATTAGGGCAAAATTGCGTGATTTGATGCTCAACAAAACGTCGTTTCGATATTTAGGATATTGTGCATACTTTCGGAGGTATCCGGAAAAACCCGAAATAAAGTGACATTTTTCAAAAAATATCATTTTAAATAAAGTTAGGGAAAAATACAAACAATTTTAACAATTTTTTTTTCCGGATATTTTCGGAAGTATTTGGAATATCCTGAATATCAACCAACCCTGTATCTCTCATCGTTTCCGAGACCCCAATGATGTGGCTCGAAGTTGAAACACCCTGCACATTTAAAAAATAGAAGTACTTCTCAAAGCGATTTTTTTCCCAAAAATAAAAACATCAGTGTACTTGTATCTCTTCTGCTTCTGCTGAAATTTCTTGAAATTGTCTACAAACACTGAAAATTTTAACTACATGCTTTCAAAGCTGAACAAATAAACACAAGCAATTGCAACCCTGACATGATTTTGTTCCTGATTCTACCTTTGACGACATGTAACTTTTTCAAAACAATTAAAATTTGACGTAATCATTTTAACTGCCGAATTTTCCTCCGTCTAGTCAGTTCGAAAATATCTAAATATCGCCTTGATTGGAAATACATTTGCAGTAGTTACCTGCTCATAGCATTTTTCCAATGCATTTTGTTGTGACAATGCAACAATTTGATTGATTGATTGATTAAATTATTGATGGCTCAGCTCATTGATTTGGAACGAGATTTGGATACCGTTTAAACTGAATATTCATAATATATAAATCATTAACATTACCAAAGCCTGGTTTATAATAATACTGTTACAAAATTTCATGGAGATTCCAAAAATCATGTTGTTTGCGTCAACAGCGTGTCTATCCTGGGTATTCTATTATGTTCGATAAACAAATTCTTCTAGATAAATCTCGTTTACAATGTCATCTAGTAATTCAGTTGGAAGACGGTTATAAGAAAAGAAATACATAAATTGATTTGGATGTTTAGTTTACTCAGTTACTTGATAAATATTTGCAATATTTCCAGTTAAGTAGTATTTCTGGGAATTTTATAAGATTTATGATAATGTAAAGTAAGTATATTCTTGTAGCGCCAAATTATTGAAAGGAAAAATTCTTGTAATACTACACATATTCGCAATACGTATAGATATAGAAGTAAAAAAGAAGCCAAAAATAAAAAACAAGTTCGGGACATTTGGATACGAGCCGACCAGCATCATCTTTTAATGGGATTTTTTTTTTTGCTGCGACAGGAATGAAATATTTATGCATTTATTTATTTAATTACCATAATTACTGTCAGAGATTTTATATATTTTGCCTGAATCATCCAGCCACGAGTCTAGAGCGACAAAATCGGCAACAAACGAAGGTATGGAACATTTGAGCATTGCAGTGTTGCCTCTGATGACGTATTCGGCGAGTATTTCCGGGTTGTAGAACTGATTAACGACTAAAATATTGATTTTATTATTAGAAGTAAACATGTTGTTTCAAACTTAACCACCCACTGCCCAACTAACCAAGTTTCTCAAACAATTTTATTTAAATATCGCTTTATTAGTGTTGTGCAAAAAGCTATTTTGTTTTATTAAAATTTTCAAAGCTATGCTTCAACAATCAAACTGTAAATATTATAAAAGAATTAGCTTGGGAAACAATAGTTATAATGTCATTAGGCCCAGAAAGGTTTGACAATTGAGCGAAGCACAAAAGGACCTTCGTGGCCGAATGGCATACAACTTTATTTTCGAGGGATTGCAATATTTCCTTCCAAAACTTAATCACTGCTGTTTTCATCTATTTTCGGAAAAAGAAACACTGCACAGCTGACAAATTAGGCAATCCAACGACCTGTCAAAAATGGCGCCTGGTTGGCAAACAATAAACAAAAAACATATGTTTTCTTTTGGCGAGATTATCAATACACATTGAAATTGAAAACTGTTAAAAAAGTACTCTTGGAGCTATTTTCTGAAGTCGGTCCGTGTTGACATAAGGAAATCTGACACTTTTCTGACATCGTTGACATGTGAGAACCCGTATTCTAACCTCATAAAAATTTCAGAATGCCGGCTGGCTGGCAAAGTCACGTGGTTTGGATTCCCTAATTCACTACGGATGATTTGTTTACTTCAAATGTCAAATCGGTATCAGTTCACTCGGAACCCATTTTACTCCTCCGAACATGAAAGCTCGTGTAAGCGAGCAGACACGTCAACTTAGTAATCCGTATTTATTTATACTCCGTACTTCATTTATGCAATAATTTAGATACAATGATAATATTGAAGAAAAAATTCAAAACGAACAAATTACTGCAAACTACACGCGTTATTATATTTTTGTGTCTTGTCACGTGTACCTTGTATTTGGCATTGTGTCTTCAGTCTAATAGAAACGAGTTATGCAATATTTTATTTCGTTTTCGTTACCTAAAAAATTATTTTGACAGCTGGAGAACAAAGTGAGGTTCGGTTAGCTCCAGTTGTTTCAGAACATACGTCAACCTTGAACGTATGTTGCCAACTTGCCGAATTTTCTGATTGGCTCTTGAATAGTTGATTTATGACATTAGATATTTTCATTGGTTGAAACTAATTGAGTTATGAAAAAAAACTCACTGTACCAGTAGGTAATTACTCACATTAAACATAGAAAATGTATGTATATTACGCGTTTTAGTCAATACTCAGAAAAATTATATTTTTCAATTGCTCTATAAACATTTACAAGATTTTTCTGTAATACCTACAGCAATAATAGAATAAAGGACCCCGCACACTTCTTATAGGATTTCTAATTGCGGTCAAATTTAACCAAATTTTAGTATGTTATAGATCTCTCCTTTCTAATCGATAACTACTCTGGGCACAACTTAATCCTATGACTAGTTTTTGAGATACAGGTAGTTTAATGTCAAGAAATGGTCACATTTTATTTGCATTCATATCTACCTGTCACCTAATAATATACCAGGATGCACAGGTATCCTCATGCTCAGGTGACAGGTAGATGTAAATGCATATAGATTGTGTACATTTTTTGGACATTAAACTACCTGTATCTCAAAAACTAGTCATAGGATTAAGTTTGTGCCCATGGTAGTTATTGATCAGAATGGTGAGAACTATAACATACCAAAATTTGGTTAAATTTGACCGCGGGCAGAAATCCCATAAGAAGTGTGTATGGAACAAAATTGTTTTACGAATTAGTGGTTCTATAAACGCTTTAGAATTGTTAACATCAAGTATCTTGTTTTATGAAAATGGTTTATGAATGCTCTTTTAACTATGCATTAAACCACAAATTGTTAGTTGGGCGGCTCATGAGCTTTCAAGAATGAAAATATCTGGCATGTCTTGCAATTTGTGATGTCCACCCCTCCACCACCTAAGGTTAAGGTTAATCTAACATTATCATGATGACATTAGGTACGTAGAAATTGTAAATTTTTTTGCAACCTGTCAAATGGAGATCTATAAGTTGAAAATTCCACAATTATACCACATTCACTCAAATTCGAAAACTCTGGAACTCCTATTAGCAAGGTATAAAGAAAGGCTCAAATACAAGGAAATACAACTTAATTATTCAAAAAAGGTCCTAATTTAGAGTTACCGTAATTACTGTCGTAGGTGTACTCAATATTTTCACCAACCCATGCTTCTACTCGCACGAAATCGGCTACAAACGAGGGAATGTTGCATTTGATTACGGCAGTGTTGCCACGTATGACGTATTCGGACACAACTTCAGCTTCGTAATACTGGTTAACAACTGAAATAACAACCGCGCGAAATCAATAATTATTGGTGCAGACATAATTTATAAGTTCAATAAGTCAATGTTTTCGGACCACTTCAGGAATTTACAACCACAAAAATGTCAAAAATCGCATATTTTCCTGTCCAAACTCCCTCTGTTATGTATATAAAAATAGGCACGTTAAATTTGATTATCTCTGTCCCTCGCGTCACTTCTAATTGAAAAGGCCCCGCCATTATCAAAAGCCAATTAGTGCAGCATAGGTACGCACCCGTCACATGGTCCAATGCCTTTATTTCATCATTATGGGTTTGTTGCAATAAAAAGATCGGTAAGTACAGGATGTCCGGTTATAATTTGATACCCCCTCTTGCAGGCTTTAACTTTACAGGTAGAAGGAAGATGTAATTTGAATGTCAGAAATGTAAGGTTTTGCATACTTTTTTCGATATTTGATTCTAGGTATACAGGGTGTCCCACAAGCAAAAAAAAAATTGACCAATGGTTAGTTAAGCTCTTTTCAAAAATATCAAAAAATCTTCCCCTGACAAAATCATCCCCTATTTACAACCCTTTTAAGTTCACGAAATTGCAAATTCAATGATGTATGAAAAACTAACCCAAACTGAAGCGGCTTTAAAACATTTTAGTAATTTTTTCATTGGAAATAATAAAAAAGATTTTACCATTGCAAATCTGTATTTATAAATAGTACCCTTATAATAATTATCGTCCCTTAATTTCTGTGAGTGGAACATGGACGGACTGTGCGGACTTTGCTTTACACATGCATTCTGCATTGCTGTGCGGGGGCACTTTCAGTTATAGAGTTTATTGGCAAGGCTCAAGACACAATGATACAAGATACAAAAAAATACATGAATCAATGGTAAAATGGAATGTTATGGGATACAAATTACTATAGGATACAATGTTGCCAATTTTGGTATATTGTATGTCGTTTCTAGTAAACTCTGTCTAACCAAAGTTGAACGTTGACAGTCAGTTACTCGAATATATCACAGACATTGCTTTTTGCTGCTGTCTTTATTGCACGCGCACTGTGTTTATCAAACCAAAATAGGTCCGAACGTGTGAATCCTATGGTTCCAAGGATGAGTAAGTGACCTTCGACGTTCAACTTTGGTTAGACAGAGTATAACTGATCAATCAGAATAGGCGAAAACCGTTTGAAGTTGCAAATTTCAAATAAACCCATAAACTCTCGCACAAAAATTATCATCCCTGCACTTCCGATTTTTTTTGGGTGCGTTGTCGAGACATAGGAGCCAGGGCCAAAATCTAAATGTTTGAGCTGAGTTAGTAAATTTGAAAATGTATTTTTTTTAATCAAAAATCTTATTTCGCGAATAAAAAATCTGATTAAAATTTTAAAAAATCAACATTCCCTTGAACGTACCTTGTTAAAAAAAAGCAATGCAACGAAACGCGAAAAGTAAACGGATTCGTCCCTGGCTACTACTTCAAAACAGAACTGGCCAACTGGGAGTGCTTTTGCAGGCATTCACAAGGATATGACAGGGGACTTTATTTGAAAATGAAACTATGTAGTTGTGAGTAGATAATAGATGCAAAAGTCTAATTATTTCAACATGTATTTGTCATTGTATCTTCAGCCTATAATCAACTCGATAAGTTTGATATACACAAGCGCAAGACAATTCCAATGTTTTTGGGAAACTATACCAAAATTATTATTCTCATTCAAGGATGAGTACTCGTGGCCGTCGCTGTCACTCCAAGAAAACACCTGGACAAAGTCGGCGACAAAAGAGGGGATGGCGCATTTGAGTACGGCGCTGTTGCCACGTATAACGTATTCGTTGTTGACTTCGGTCTCAAAAAACTGTTGAACAACTGTGAAAAAAATTGGTTGTAATCAGCGCTGGGGCAAGAATAATGATTTTGACGAAATTTAATACGTCAAGAATTTATAAAATGAACAAGTAGGTACTTTCCTAACTCTCCAGATTTTATTAGTAGTTTTGCTAAAATTTATAAAAATTCGCGTCAATCGCCTTTGAACAAACTCTTGTAAAGACAAAAAAAAAATAAAAAAAAATACCATCTAGATTTCCAGTGGCTGAAGATGAAAGATAAAAGTCTTCATTTTGATCAGTATGCCACGACACTACCGAAACAAAATCAGCAATGAAAGAGGGAACTTGACATTTCATCATAGCGGCGTTGCCTCTGATTGCGAACTCTTTAATTACGTCAATGTCGTAATACTGTGTCACAACTGGAAAACAATCCATACATCAGAAATCAATACAAAATACTACACTCATTTAATTGGATATTCATGGTATAAGTAAGTAGGCAAATTTTAACCCATCTCTCCCCCTTTATCACCCTTCATTGTCAAAAACACTCTTGTAAAAAATCAATACAGTTGGTGCAAACTAGCGTGAGCTGCCAAAGATCTGATTTCGCCTACAGCTCAAAATAGTTTGCATCTTTTACTGTAGGTATAGGTATTAAGGTGATGGTTACCCTCTGCTGCATCAGTAAAGAAATTCTCATTCTGATCTGTGTGCCAAGAGATAACTTGCACGAAGTCCGCAACGAATGAGGGGATCTCGCATTTTAAAATTGCTGCATTGCCTCTGATAACGTACTGCTTGTTTACGTCAATATCGTAGAACTGGGTGACGGCTATAAGAGAAGATGAACACAGAATTGTGTATTTGTTCAAGAGGAAAAGGGCAATCCAAGCAGCGGAAAAAAAAAATTCAGTCTACGACGCTCGGAAAAAGTTGAGGAAAGACGCCTTATGATGAGACAAGCAGACCACTTGCCATATATGTTAAGAATGATATTTTAATAATTTTGGCACGGGACTAGTAAAAAACTTTTCTCAGGACTCAATATTAATCCATTTTTCCAAGCCTATACAATGCTTATTCAGATCATAACCATATCAAAGAGTGCTTTGATTACGAAAACGTACGTCGAATTATTGTTCTTTTTTTTTATTGTAAGGATTATTGACATAACATTTAGACACAAAATTCAATGACAAAACTAAAGAGAAATATTGATAAGTCATACGTTTGAAAAATCATAGCCATCTTTATATAGTTTTTTTTGAAGACCTGTTATTTACAATAGTCATCTACAAAAGTAGGTATTGCTTTTGCAGATCAAGTATATATCACAATAAAATTCCACAAATCGCGCAAATATATGGGGGTTCTCAGAGCTGCCATAGTACAAGAGAAAAAAATCATGTGCACCGCCGTACACGTGGTGGAAGAGAAACTTCTTAAAGATATTCCCTTCCGCATACAACTTTTAGACTTAGCGTATGAGTCGGTGTAAAGACGAAAGGAAACGCGCAGCTTTAGTGACTTCACAAGGGTATCGCTTGACAATAATAGGTTCGTTCCAACCCCCCGTTTTCGTATCGTCATGAAACGGTTTCGGAACTGTTAGGATCGATTGAAGGCGCATGCGTTGACCTTGCACGGTTTTATCTTGGTACAGAAACAACGGGTAGTTGGAACGGTTTCATGATCGTTTTCGTAATGACGACAGTTCAAATAACTTTAACCCTAAATTTGTTTGTTCGCAAATTAAAATAGAAGAATATAGGATTAGGATTACAAAATAATATATAAAAAAGGAAAATCGAACACCAACGCTGATTCATTATCAAGAATCTGAAGCTGATAACATCAAGGATTAGCAAATAGCTGATAATAAATTTTGTACTTTTTTTCACTTGAAAAAAATAAAAATGCTACAGTTTTATAAGTTAGATTGGAAATTGGTTGTTTAACAACAACATGAACAACAACAGGTGACAAAAATTGAATTACGCATGTCAGTCATGGATCAGTCCACGCGGTTCTTGCTTTCCACTCGGGATCGAAATGACGGTGCTAAAACCAGTTCTCGAACGATCCCAGGTTTGGTTGGAACGCCAACGAAACTGAACGGTAAACGATCATCTCTCGGTTTGAACGCGTTTAACCTATGGCGCATGACCGTGACCGTACATTGAACGGTTTTTGGCTGGGTTGGAACGAACCTAATAGTTTATACTCCTTGGTTTTCGATAGCTGTTTTTCCCCGTCCCTCTACGTTATATTTTTCTTCTCTCTCGTGTAACGAAATTTTCCAAAACGTGACGCGTCTTTCAAGTTACTCTCTATTCGCGTGCAAATATCAGAGCGCCAGCCGCCTAAGAAGTTTCACTTCAAAAACAAATTTCGGCGTGCAGATGTATCTACGTTTCAACTTGTGCTTCATCAGGCTTGCTCCCTTGCCCTTGCAGACCCGTATGCATCAATTATTGTAGGACTGAATGTCAAACGATTCGGGTTTCGACCTAGACACCTGTGGCTTGCTTGTATCATCAAATGACGTTATTTCCCAAAATATTAATATATAAACAAAATAATATTCTCAATATGCAAGTATGTACAGGTTCTGTTCCTTATGATAAGCGTGGCTTCTACAACTTAAACAAAAACCAATAAAAAAAAGGGAATACAAAAGTTGTAGGGTCTTATCTCTTTTATCCTTCGCACATGTCAAAACGAGCAAACAACAGTTGCCAACTGCCATAATATAATCACAAACACATGCATTTTTTAAAATAGAAGAACCTGTATACCTACTTCGACTAGAGTCATAGATTTTTTTTTCTTTTCCAAAAATACGTATCATTCAAGATAAATTTTCTAAAACTACAAAATGTGATGAAAATGCTTTCAACCAATCTGAAGACAATTTTTGTAAGCCACAGATATACGAGAAACCTTTGGATGATGCGAAAAATTTTGCTTATCTCCTTTAATAACATTCCCAAGACGATAACTATTTTATCCGAATCCTCTGAATGATAAATCATTCATTGCATATTCAACACTTATTATTTACAAAAAAGTTTTCTATTTTTTACTATATCAAGACTCGGATAAGGAAAGTGTGTTCCTGTTTATTGATTGAAATGCTACCATAACGAGACTACCCTATTTATTCAACGATATTATATGTATTCAGCTTTCAATACATTCAAGTTGAGGGTTGATAGTTGCTTCTCACAATACAATTGAAAGTAGAGCAATAAAGTATAATATAAAAATATATATTTTTTGTATAAAATCTTAAAATTTTATCAGCAAAGTTGGTTCATGACATAAGCCTTGACCAATCGCCGAGAATATGACTTAAAGTTGCCCTATGCAATTTTTAAGTAAACATGTCTATTTTCTAGGATCATCCGCCATGTTTGATTTTTTGATACCTATACTCAAATACCTGAAAAAAATTACTCATTATGTTATATATAAACACTGGCCCTTCATTGTTAAATTAACCTAGAACATGTATTAAAATATCTGCCAGTTTATTTTGACTAGTGGCAGGATCATGGACCAAACAACAGTATCAATGAGGAAACCAATTCCACCAGCATTGAGGCAATGCTCATCCCCAACGCCAGCTTTGCTGGGCTGGTCATGATGTCCGCATGCCAGACTCATGTCAACTTGCGTTAATTATGTATTCCCAACTAAAAAATGTCCGACGCAGGAATGGAGGGAAATTTAGACGATGCAAAGATGTCCTCAAGGCCGTGTCAGATCGATGTGGGGGATTAGGAGGCTACGGCTCTGAATAGACCTGTATGGCGACAAAGTATCCATCAAGGCTCGGAGTACTTCGAACAAAAATGACGAAGGGATGCGGCAGGCAAACGGAAACGTGGAAAAGAATGAGACCTCTGACAAGAGCTGGTCCACAATAGCCACCGGCTACCGCCAAGTGCCAAAATGATTATTTGGCCATCAAAGAAACTAATGATGCTGTCGAGTTTCCTATAATACTCGTTTGCGAGGGAATGTCTATGATAATAGTATTAAAATATCAACAATAGGCACTTGGAATGGTTCAAGAAATTATCCTATTTCGGAATCCAAAATGAGGCGATGTTCTATTAGATAACTCAATCATTTTATTCGGAAACGGTGCAGGGTATATCTTGCCAGGGATACGCTGCTTCCGTCTAGTTATCTTGAGTTAGTGTGCATGAATAATCATAGTTAACTCAAGACAATTCTACAAACAGGTGTATAATTATACACCCGAAGCAAGTTTTCTTAAAAAAATAGGATTAAAAAAATCAAGAAACAACTTGGGACTAAGTGGAAAAAGCAATTTTGGAATTATTTGTATACCACAGTTACAACAAGGGCCAGTGATGCCAAATTATGTATTAAATAAATTTAAAGAAGCTGTACCTGCTCTAACGTTGACATCCCTTGAATTAATCGATCCAACGCTGTTCTTGGCCAGACAAACGTAGACTTGAGCGTGCACTTCTTGACGGTAATCCTCCGCTCTGAACGGCGGAAACACCAAGTTGCCATTAGCGAGTACTTGACGTAAACCAGGTACGTCTCCAACAGCAGTACCATCTGAACGAACCTGAATAATTAAAGACATAATTTTAAAATTTCAATTTCCTTTCGTCAATTCTAGCTTTGTAAAATAAATAAAAGCTGTAATTCCTACCCAGATAATGTCAGGTGGTGGATTGCCGCTAGCACCACATTCAACGACGGCTCCAGTAGTGTTGGAGAAATCCACTCGATTTGGCGGTTCTTTTAAAAACACTGGTCCAGCAGTGTCGTCTTCGGCAAGCACCAAGACAAGAGACGCCGACGCCAGAACCACGATAGCTCCAAGTTGGAGCATGATGGCGGAACAAGAGCACGCGCACGCAAGAGGACGAACACTTCACTCGAAAAATCTGCAAAGGAAAGAAATAGAAATTTAAACATAAAACTTCTTATTACTCAAGTAGGCAAAACCTATCAGAGTGAGTCATTGATTGAAAACAGTCAAAACTGGTTGTTGGCGATTTGCGCTAATCAAAAACGCTCTGACTGGTTTGCGATTTCTATGAGAACAAACCTTAAGTTAGTATGAAGATTGAGGGTGCAATCGGAGATGAAAAAGTAGCATGTCACATTATTCAGGTCTACCAGGTCATTACAATACAAGACAATAATGAGGTTAGGGTTATATTTTGAATGTAATACTCCACTCCAACTAAAAATATTAATGCATTTTGCACATGTCGCGGCCTATTTATTTCACTATACAGCACTGAAATGGTAATGGTGCTAAACTTTTGACCTATTTTCTATTAAATTCCAAATTGAGTGTTGTTTTATTTTATTTGTTTCTTGTAGAGTATGACTATTTTCTATTATACATATTGATATTACACTAGATAATTTTGGAGACATAAAAATATCATTAAACCAATTTCCCTTTTAACTGTAATTTTAAATCTAAAAATATAGCATTCAATGTAACCAAGTCAGTGGAAATAAGTCGCAATGGACTACATAATCATGGGCCTCGTTTCTCACATAAAATTCTGATTGGTCCCTACCCCAGGCAGATGTTATTTTTCGATTAGTTTCAACGTCTTACACCTGGCGCAAAAGATTTTTCTGCCTGAGATGAATGATGGGTCTGGGTGTTTGTTTTCAGTTTAGGTCAGGTAGACCCCAGATCATAAGAAAATTATCTAAAATGGGCTTATTAAGATATAACCATATTCCACTAGTTTAGGTACTCTATACCTAGGAACAATCCAATAAGTAAATATTTACAACACAAATCATAGTCTCATATTTTATTATAAATTTAATGAACCTGTAATACTCAGTTTTATACCATTTTGAAAGGCCCCTAATCCAAGAACAATTTTTTTATTCATGAAGTGTTTACCTGCTTTGTGTGGGACAGTATTTTTGACACCTTCTATAAATTGCGAGTCGTAAATCATCAATATTATCATTATCAATCATGATCAAATTAACACACATAAATATACAAAATTTAGTAGTATATAGGTACAGGGTGATCTATTATAAATGTCACCCCTCGTGTCACCCCCTACTAACTTTGTCTGTGTGTTTTTGACAGAAGTGTCAAATACAAAAGTTTTGAGAAATTGTCAAAAGTTTTTAACTAAGTCAGTTTTAAGCATACAGGGTGCGTCAAAAAGTGTAGCAGAGCGAAGTTGTATTTTTTTTAAATGGAAGACCATGTATATTGTGCTCTTATTTATTAATCCCCTTCAACCTGATTTCAACGATATATGGTTTGATATGTTTATCTCTTGGTTTATCTCCAAGGGTTATAATTATAGGGAAAAACGTGAAAGTCTCTTCCTAGGTGTCTCATGTTATTTTTTTTTAAATATACTTAAGACATCTGGATATTTTATCTTGTGAATTAATGAAAAAAAAACAATAAACTGTTTAAAAACAATTCTCTTTAAAGGTCTATTCTCACTTACGCTTCACTCAGCTCGGTGACGCGACGCCGCTATGCAAATTGTGGCTAGATACGATAATAAGATAAGATAGATAAGTTGTACCTAAAAATCTTGGAACTATAGAAGAAATTAATGAGTTCTTCATCAACATAGCCTCATCATCACCACCATGTTTGTAAACCTTAAACTTCTATTCAAATCATAGAAAAGTAGATGTTGGTGCATTCAATTTTAGAATGGCAACAGATGCTGAGGTATTCGCCGCTCTTTGTTCCATTAAGTCAGAGGCGACTGGTGTGGACGGAATCGGTTTGCGAATGATACATTTTTGTTGTCCTTATATTGTTCCATTTCTTGTTCACCTGGTTAATTGTTGCATTGAGACATCAGTTTTTCCGGATGCCTGGAAGAAGTCCTACTTGATTCCTATACCAAAAATGGCCTCACCTACGGAACTAAAGGATCTGCGACCTATAAGCATTCTGCCGACACTTTCGAAGGTGCTTGAGAGAGTCATGGAGAGTCAAATGCGTGAGTATGCTGAACGTTACCAGCTGCTTCCACCGTATCAGTCTGGTTTTCGTAAGGGTCATAGCTGCGCTACATCACTTTTAAAAGTGACAGATGATATTTTTCAGGCGGCTGATCGGGGTGAGCTCACTGCATTGGTTCTATTAGATTACTCCAAAGCATTTGATAGATTAAATCACATGTTTCTGGCTATATTGCATTACCTGGGCTTTGGCGCGAGGGCACGTGATCTTATCAAAAACTATCTTAGTGGCAGAACACAGTCGGTCAAGCTTGATGAAGGTGTGTCAGTCGAAAGAAATATTGTCAATGGAGTCCCACAGGGATCCATTCTTGGACCCTTATTCTTTACTTTATATGCAGCACAGTTAACAACTAAGCTGAGGCATTCCTCGGTACATCTATATGCAGATGATACGCAGGTATACTTATCATTTAAACCTGAAAATATTCAAGCAGCTAGTGAAACGTTGAGGAGTGAACTTGACCTTCTCTCTGAAGAATCTAAAAAACATTGTCTAGAAATGAACCCAAAAAAATGTCAGGTGCTTCTCTTCGGGCGAATTCAAAGTAGGGATCGATTCGAAGGTCTTCTTAACATAAGTTTAAATAATTAAATTTTAAAGTGCACGGCAACTGCCAGAAACTTGGGTTTATTAATTGATGTTAACTTGAGATTCACAGATCATATTGGTAGTTGCATTAGAAAGGCCTTCGCCAACCTAAAACTTATTTTTCATCAGCGTCATATACTAAATGAAAATCTAAAAAGAACCTTATGTGATAGTCTGGTTTTGTCTCAGTTTAATTTCTGTGACGTTATATATGATCGTTGTCTTCTGCAAGGTGCTTTTTAGGTGCTAATTAGGGCCTCTAATTAAAAATTAGGTGCTCCTCTAGTTTCTGAGAAAATAAAAAAAAACTAAAGGGCTGCTGGGTTTATAAAAGCTAGCAGTCCCCTATAGTAAAAAATATTTTTTTTCAAATTTTTTCTTTGTATCAGAATTAGGTGCTTTTTAGGTGCTCCTAAATAGTCCAAGAAAAAATAGAATTGATTAATTATTAACTGAGTTACAGATTTTTTTTTAATTATTAGGGGACTGCTGGCCTTACGTTTACATCCCCTATAGTGAAAAATATTTTTCCAAAATTTTCTTTTGTATCAGAATTAGGTGCTTTTTAGTTGCTCCTAAATATTTGAAGAAAAAATAGAATTGATTAATTATTAACTGAGTTACAGATTTTTTTGTAATTACTAGGAGACTGCTGGCTTTACGTTTACATGTTGCTGTGTCAGAATGGAAAAAAACTTCGGCATCTACAGTGCCATTACTTAAGTGTGCAACATATGGGATTTTTTTTTAGTAATAGCACAATCAAAATATAAACAAGGCCAAAAGTTGGTGCATGTCTGATAATCATATTAGGTGCACTTAGAATGGTTGCAGTCAAACAGCATACAGGGTATAGCTCAAAAAATATCAAAATTGTAGTAATATTTACTTAAATAAAATAAAACTTCTGCACTTTAGGGAGATTTTTTTTAATATGCATATGATCATTAGTAATGTTTTAACTTGCTAAAAAACAAAATTGCGACATTTTAAAGTTGTGTTGAATATCATTGCAACAAACATGAATTTTGTGATTCCATAAAAAATTGAAAATCTAAGTTAATTTTACAAATATGCTTGAATTTGAACAAAGTTATGTAAAATTGATTTGATTTTAATTAATTTTTGAAAGTATTAAGGGCGGAAATAAAAAATAAAAAAAATATAGAAATTATAGATTTTTTTCGAAAAAAAAAAATAAAAAAAATCCTAGGAGGCTATGTTTTGGTATTTAGGCATCATAACTTTTAATTCCAAACAATTTTTCTCTATAACATTTCGCTGAATTCTCTAAAATAAGGGTATGTACTTTACAGTACAATTTTGATATTGTTTCAGCTACCCTATATGCTGTTTAACTTGCAACCATTCTAAGTGCACCTAATATGATTATCAGACATGCACCAACTTTTGGCCTTGTTTATATTTTGATTGTGCTATTACTAAAAAAAAATCCCATATGTTGCACACTTAAGTAATGACTCTGTAGATCCCGAAGTTTTTTTCCATTCTGACACACCAACATGTAAACGTAAAGCCAGCAGTCTCCTAGTAATTAAAAAAAAAATCTGTAACTCAGTTAATAATTAATCAATTCTATTTTTTCTTCGACTATTTAGGAGCACCTAAAAAGCACCTAATTCTGATACAAAAGAAAATTTTGGAAAAATATTTTTTACTATAGGGGACTACTAGCTTTCATAAACCTAGCAATCCCTTAGTTTTTTTTGATTTTCTCAAAAATCAGAGGAGCACCTAATTTTTAATTAGAGGCCCTAATTAGCACCTAAAAAGCACCTTATTATTATATAGATCCCGAAGTTTTTTTTCCATTCTGACACACCAACATGTAAACGTAAAGCCAGCAGTCCCCTAATAATTAAAAAAAAAATCTGTAGCTCAGTTAATAATTAATCAATTCTATTTTTTCTTGGACTATTTAGGAGCACCTAAAAAGCACCTAATTCTGATACAAAGAAAAAATTTGGAAAAATATTTTTCACTATAGGGGACTGCTAGCTTTCATAAACCTAGCAATCCCTTAGTTTTTTTTGATTTTCTCAAAAATCAGAGGAGCACCTAATTTTTAATTAGAGGCCCTAATTAGCACCTAAAAAGCACCTTATTATTATATAGATCCCGAAGTTTTTTTTCCATTCTGACACACCAACATGTAAACGTAAAGCCAGCAGTCCCCTAATAATTAAAAAAAAAATCTGTAGCTCAGTTAATAATTAATCAATTCTATTTTTTCTTGGACTATTTAGGAGCACCTAAAAAGCACCTAATTCTGATACAAAGAAAAAATTTGGAAAAATATTTTTCACTATAGGGGACTGCTAGCTTTTATAAACCTAGCAGTCCCTTAGTTTTTCTTGATTTTCTCAGAAACTAAAGGAGCACCCAATTTTTAATTAGAGGCCCTAATTAGCACCTAATTATTATATAGTTCCCGAAGTTGTTTTCCACCTTGGGACTGCTAAGTTTATAGACCTCCTAATTAGAAAATACAGGAAAACATCAATCAAATACATCATCATCGGTACTCGACAAAAACCTAGACATTTTGAAGAAAACAACATTACAACTCGTTGGCAATTTTCCACTGCAGATTGTTTTGAAAAAGCTTGTAGTATTGTGTAGCTGTCGCATCCAACAGGGGAAGCTGCAAGCCTCTTTTTAACAAACATGAAATTCTAACGGTTCCGTGTATCTTTATATTGGAGAATGTATGCTTAATATTTAAAAAGTTCCAGGGGTTCGAAAGAGATGAAGTACAGTACAACCAGAGGCATAACAACTTGCCCTTACCTATACCTAGATCGGCATTGACAAAAAAACTCTATAATGTATGAAAGCGTGAAAATGTATAACAACTTGCCAAATGATATTAAGAATATCAAGGAATATTTCGTTTTTCCTGACAGTACAAAAAAATTTTTGATTTCCAGACCATTTTATATAGTAGATATATTTATCTTCAAGCGGAAAAAAAATCCATCCCCCCAAGAGAGCCCTAGGTGCACAGCGAAATAATGATAATAGTAATAATAATAAGTCATGCTTTAAGATTGTCGATAAAAAAAGGAAATAATTTGTAGTAGACAAACCCTTACAATTGAAAATAGAGACATACCAAAGCCATAGTTAAGACCATACTTGAACCGGTTTTCTTGGGCGCTTACTGAGAACAAGAACGTTACCAAGTGAATTAATGATGGATTTTCATAAGACCAATTTGCATTTGACCGAGCATTTAACCCTTGATAAGTAGGTACCTACATTATTTTTCATAGTTGCTATTTGAAGAATAGCGGTAAAAATCTAATGGAATGCATCCTAAGAAGAGACACAATGGCTCATACATTATTTTATACCTATGCTATGTATGTACCCATATTAGTTTAAAAAATATACCATAGGTAGGTACTTCTGAAGTAGAAGTTGATTTTAGGGGAGTTCTGATGATAGTTTCGTCATCTACAAGTTATAGTTCTATACCTAGTTCTTGAAAAAATATAGATATACTTAGTTCTGACTGAACAAAAACAACAAAATTTATAAAATTATTTAAAACAACCCCTTATTTTATATCTTGACTTCCTGATCAAAAGTTCTCATAGGCCCAACTGATAACTAATTTCACCTAAAAATAAATGGTCGGTCTTGTATAATAAGAAAACCCCAATAGAAAATGTTCAAAATCATTCACACCCAACATCTAAATTTGGTTTTATACCCTGAGACAAATAATGCAACTTTTTTAATATAGCCAGAATCAATACAAAAATGATACAAAAACAGTATAAGGAGACAGTGAAAGCTAATATTACATGTCAAGATACTAAAATCTAATAAAGACAATAAGGATAAAAACATTAAAAACCACCAAAAACTGCTACCTAAAATGTCATTCACAAATCCAGTCAAGCCTTTATATATGTTGCATACAAATGACAATTAAAAAAAAAGCGAAAAAACAAAAAGACAGATTACTAAAGCTAGAGCCATCAACAACAATCACTAAAGCTAGAGTCTATTGCCATAAAGTTCTTCCAAAGAATAATACGCTTTTAAAAGCAGAAGCTGCTTCACCTTTCTAGCAAAAAGGACACTATTGCCTAGATATTTGATCTCAAGAGGCAGGAGGTTATACATCTCTTTCCCCTCATATATTATTGAGTTTTTTGTTAATGTACTCCTTGGGATGCACAGACTTAGATTTTTACTGTTGAACCTAGTTGCCCTGGTGTCATTATTGTTAGATCCTCTATATTTTTTGTGAACCATGAACCGTAACTAATAGTAAATTAAAAATACAGGTCAATGTAAGAATTTCCTCCCAGATAAACAGGTGCCAGCAGTGTTCCCTAGAGCTGACTCCACACAATAGTCGAACAGCCCGTTTTTGTAAAACAAAAAGTGAATTAACCAGTTGACTTGAAGGATAAAAGCCTAATTGCTTGAATTTTAACAAATCAGCAAATCTTACAGCATACCTAATACCATTACAGCATTTACTTATTTCAAATTTTAGGAGCATATTAGGAACATGCTCAAATAAATTCACTATGGTTATTTTTTTGGATAATTCGCAAAATTTATGCCCAATATAATTCTTTAAAATTGGGTGTATTTCAGTTGACTTTCGAATTTTCTAATGGGCTCCCTATAGAATTTTTGAAAATTCTAAAGGCCTTGGCATCTACATGGGTTGCATCGAGGGTTGCATTCATTTACACAACATATTTTTTTCAATGCTAGCGAATAACTCGTTCAGCCACAATTTACTGTAGAAAATGCCCCAACTTTAAGCCTATTTTGAAATGTAAGATAAACGTACGTTTTTTTCGAAACGCGATTTTTTCATGAAAAAAAAAAGGCAAATCTTCAGTTTTTACCTTGGTTTTTACAGCTAGATAATCAACGGCAAACTTTCAAGGAAGGAAAGAAAAAGAGAAGCAAATTTTCTAATTCCGAAACTGATAAGCAAATAAACTGCAAAATGGAGGCAAATCCTCAGTATTGTCGTATTGTTAATGGCAATTAGATTTTTTGAAGTAATTTTTTTGATGGACACTGGGAGACATCTTTTTTTTTGGTTAATTTGTTGTGAAACAAAAACAGTTTCAATTTATTCATTCCTCTTTTAATAATAATAATAACTGGAATAATAATAATAACAATAATAATAAGTCTTTATTTCCAACAGGCCAGAAGCCCAATTACAAGAAAATCAATATTAATTGCAAAATAACAAAAAAAGGAAAATTTAACTAAAATTAAATTAGAAACTAAATTAGGAAGAAGAGAAAAAAAAGGTATAAAAAAAGTTGCCTCTGGAGTAGTTAGGTATTTTTTGATTACATAATATAAGTTTATCACTCGGTTTATCATTTAAAAATATATAAAAAATACAAAATATAATTGTTAAAATACTAGAGTATACTGGAAAACTTAAAAACAAATTTTTGACACAACAAGCCATGATTCCTAATTATTATTCAATTTAACAGGTCTTTGAAATCACATCCTAATAGTTAAAATCTGCAATTTAAAAATTAATGTAAAAAGTGTGTTCGAAAAATTCGACTTACTGAATAGGGTGGATGTTGAGTAAAAAACTGTTTTATTTTCCCCTTTAACCTCCCATAAACCTCTAACCGTTTCACCTCACCAGGCAGTTCATTGTAAATTTTAACCTTGGTAGGGACTATCCTCATATAATTTGGTTCTATGCAATGGTATAATAGGGTTCTGTTCATTTCTTGTTTCTTTATTTACGTTTATGTTATTGCTTTTCTGAAACAGTTTTTGATTTTTATATGTGAAACGGTACATTTTGTACATACATATAACTACAGCAAGTCAACTGTCAATGTGCCCAGCCTCTGGAACAATGGGGCACAGTGCTCCAGATTCGGGACACAACATGCAGTCCTGATTATTCTCTTTTGGACAACAAATATTCTCTGCATAATTTCCTTATGGGAGCCCCAAAAGATAATACCATAAGCTATGCGTGAATGTACAAAGGCATAATAAAAATGAATTACAGATCCCTTACTGACAATGTCTCATAATATAAATTGCAATAGTATTTTTTTTAACATCCAAGTATTTAGATGATAAAATAAGTTGGTAGGTCGAGGGGTAGGTTCACCTACGTATATAAAATTAAAAACATTGTATGTTAGTATATTTTTTTACCTACCTAGAAACATGGACTAAAAAGTACCAAATTAAAAAATCAGTGCAAAATTTGAGGCGATACAGATTTTGGTAGGGAGCTGGACCTATCAAAGGATGATGAAAAGTACTTTATTGTCCAAAAAATATTACATGTAATAGGTCTTATTGACAAAGCATACTTAAAAACTAAACTAAAGTAAAATAAAAGTAAAAAAAATCAACAATGACGTACCTAGCTACAAACAAACAGTCAATAAACACTTAATCAAATAAAGAGAAAACAAAAAAAAAAACTTACAATAAGACAAGCATTTTAAGTATGGCCAATAAAAAGAACAATAAAAACAAAAAAAAAAATAATAGCAATCAACAATGTAAAAAATGGTCAATACAAAATAAAACATAATATAAAAACAACAATATATAGCCAGTTTACTATTGAGATTAAATATCACACTAAATTAGGATAGCTCAAAGAACTCCTCAATGGTATAAAATGCTTTTTCCAATAAGAATATCTTTCGTAGGTTCCAAAAAGCCTTTGGTGTTCAAGCATTGAAGCAAGGAACATTTTTGTTTCTAGGTACGAGTATCTACATACATAATATAATCAGCACAAATTTTATTGCAATGCATGTAGTTTAAAAGGGCGTTTCTATTTGATTTTACTTTACATTAGATGCAAAAGCATCGAGCATCCAATCCAATGCATAGTTCTTATTTAAGGCAATGTGAATCTGTCTGCTATAAATTTTATTCTAGAATCTAGATAGAGCTATCCCTTAACACCCGAATGGAAGAGTGAATATCTGAAGATACCTAATAAGATATTTTTAGGGCAAATGGCAGAATATTGGAATATACAAACCTTTGGGGTAAGTTAGTAATATTCGAAGTAATATTACTCTTTTGACCAATTATTAAGTACTTATACCAAAAATTCGTAAATATTGAAGAAATTTATTAATACAATAATTCAGCCTCCAGTCCCTAAAAATATCGACACAAGGGAGAAAAGCAGAGCAAAAAGGAACACAGGAAAAAGACCGGCAGCATGGCGTGAGACGTGAGGGACTATTTTTCTAATTGTTATTACTCACTCACCCTTATATAAACAACGAATATTTATCAATAATCCACTGAGAATCAGTTCAGAACACTGTAATAATTCACTCACTGATAACTAGATTAATAAATTCACACAAAGCAAAAGCGAAACCGGAAAATACACACCACAAAACACAGAACATAAATTTTCGATTCTACTGATCGACTCGACTCCGTCGACGATGTCGACTCGACTCACAGACGGGCGACGGCTGTCGGCTACTGGCTTGGGCGCTTGGGCCCGCTTCGCTTCGCTTGGGGCTTGGCCTTATATTTATCGGGCTATCGGACTAGCAAAACAAACGAAATGAATGTCATTGGCATTATGGCATTTGACATTGCAGGCATCCATTAGTTCTTTTCACGTGGCTCCGGTTTAACTAACCGGGTTACAAAACGGTTAGAGAAATGACATACCATTTTCTAACCCGGTTACACAGTGACGTGATGGATACCTACCACTCGAATTTGAGCGATATGTTGCGGTTAGTTAAACCGGAGCCACGTGAAAAGGGTTATTGGATCAAAACAAAAACGCACTACGCCTCTCGCTGCGTTGCAACATATCTAATTTATTACCCCAGTATGGATGGCGTCATCTATGATTTTCCCGTTCAAGCACTTCGATCCGAGCAGACATCTCGGTCGGTGTAGACGGTGCAAAGTGCAGGTGCAATCCGTGCACTCCTTGTATCGAATTGTTAAAAAAGCGATTCTGTTTTTCGAATTTTCGATACGTATTATGCCTCATTCTCACTTGCGCGGAATCCGCTCTTTTTGTGCGAAATTCGCTCTTTTTTTGACAATGCTTCGACAAGTTGATGTTTTATGCGTGTATCAAACGTCAAATTGTCGAAGCAAGCTGTGTGGTTCAAGCACGGTGCAGCACAGTGTTCTGTCTAGGGGCGGTTACACACGGACGTGGATGTCTGGAAACATGTACGCACATACATGAACGCGCAAACAAAAACATCAATGTGTATGCAAAATACCGTCGCGTTTTTGAATGTGCAATTTTATATGCACACTCGGAATACTGTATAGGCGGTTACACACGGACGTGGATGTCTGAGAACATGTACGCACATACATGAACGCGCAAACAAAAACATCAATGTGTATGCAAAATACCGTCGCGTTTTTGGATGTGCAAACTGTAGAATGACACTCAAATGAATTCTGGAATCGCTAGAAATTTTGTATGCGCACTCAGAATACTGTAGCAAGAGTAGCAAGAATGACAGTTTTGTGCGAGCGTCTGTACAAAAGTGACATGCACGTTGTTGTTTGCACGTTGATGTATGCACGTATATGTATCAAGCCATCTACGTCCGTGTGTAACCGCCTTAGCAAGAATAGCAAGAATGACAGTTTTGTGCGAGCGTCTGTACAAAGGTGCCATGCACGTTGTTGTTTGCACGTTGATCTATGCACGTATATGTATCAAGCCATCCACGTCCGTGTGTAACCGCCTATTCTTGCTACAGTATTCCGAGTGTGCATACAAAATTGCACATTCAAAAACGCAACGGTATTTTGCATATATATTGATGTTTTTGTTTGCACGTTCATGTATGTGCGTACATGTTTTCAGACATCCACGTCCGTGTGTAACCGCCTTAGGTGGTTACACACGGACGTGGATGTCTGAAAACATGTATGCACATACATGAACGCGCAAACAAAAGCTTTGAAACGCAAAAGTTAGCAGCTCTGGAAGCGCAGTACGGCTGGAACACGAACACGCGCTTGAAGCATTTGCACGCGCAAAAGCTCGATTGCGTGCTCAAAATGGTCAGCTGGAAAGCGGCTATTGGCAGAGCAAGTGCAACACTCGTTTTGCACTGACACTTTGAAAAAACTGCACGCGTGCAGTCCCAATGAAACATCATCCTACTGCATCCAGTGAAATTTATACCAGCATTTATCACGCCTGAGGCAATAAATTTTTAAGGGAGTGAACCCTACGCCTACCGGTAGGTTTTTTGTTATCCAACGGTTGTACGCCTACCAGTAGGTCCTTTTTCATCCACCGATTGTGCGCCTACTGGTAGGTAGGTCCTTTTTCGTAAATTGATCAAGCGCCTACTGGAGGTGTTTTATTACTTTAGAATCCGTATATCCTACCAGTTCAGCTCTTGCTAGCTAAATACGTTGATACAATTTTGTTTCTTTGCAAAATTGTCATTAAGAAATTCGTCCACTGAGTAATAAGCCTTTATTAGTACCTAGCATCTTTCTAATTTGGACTTCAAACATGTTGATGTTTGAAATCTGCGTCATTTTAGACGGCAACCTATTGAAAATCCTTCTGCATACACCTTCAAATTATTTTTGAGTCTTCGATTGCTCGCTATGCTGACCAAACCTCGAAGAGAGGAACCTCGGGAGAGCAAATCCATCAAAAACGTGAAAAACCTTTTTCAAATATATCACCTTCTTGTTCAAAATATTTTTGAGTCTGCGATTGCTCGCTCTGCTCGCCGGTGAATCGACCAAAAACGTGAAAAACCTTTATTAAGAAGGTATAACCCCTTGAAATTTAAAATATTTTTGAGCCTCTGGATTGCTCACTCCACTCGCCAAACTTCAAGAAGATTCTCGGAAGCTTAAATCCACTAAAAACGTGGAAAACCTTTTTCAAATATATCACACATCGAACGTAAATGCACATATTATGCATAATAGGTAGGCAACGGATTCTTGAATTAATATGAACCTACCGGTAGGCTCAGGATTCTTTTTACAAACAGTACCTACCGATAGGCGTTATATCATGTGGTAATTGAGAACCTATCATAATGTTTGAGCATTATACATACGGTAGGCACATAACCAATGAAACAAATGGAACCTACCGGTAGGCGCAGAGTTCACTCCCAATTTTTAATAGAGTAAAATGGGTGGCCGCCTTTGTCTTACGCATTCTTAGACAAGACGAGGTGGATTTATTTTAAAAAAATTCGCTAAGGAAAACCCCGGGTAATGGGCAGGAGCGTAAAGGGCTACATACACTACGATGAAACACGACGATTTTCATCGCCACGATGAAACACGTCGTTCTAAAACCAAAGTGTGTGGTAGAAAAACACGACGGTTTTCTACCACACACTTCGGTTTTGGAACGACGTGTTTCATCGTGGAAAGGAAAACTGCCAAAAAAGAACGTAGTGTATGGGGCCCTTAATAGGCGGAAGCGCAATTTTAGATAGGGAGTTGATATTTTAACTAACTTGTTTTAGTTAGTGCAGGACTAAAAACCTTGAAAATCTTAGCTTAGCTCATTTGGATTTATAGTATTCAATTCAATTTTTCGCGACATAAATGTTTCCAAAAATTATGTTCGATAATGATGGGTAATGCAAATGTCATTGGGTAATACTCAAATTACTCAACATAATCCCAACCTTTAAAAAAATTATGTCGGGAAAAATAGCCTTTTATAAACAAAACAAATCACAAACATACAAACTTTGTCACCGTTCGAAAACCTAGAGCTAGATTTGCACACAGAAGTGTATCCGCCCCTCGCTCCTCGAAATAATTTCCACAGTTTCCACACCAACAACTAGGTTGTCGAACGCAGCCCAGAATAATCCGAAGCTTATTTGAAAATTGCCCTCACATGCGCCATCTATGGGTGGAAGCCGCAAAGATGCAAGAACACTTCCTGTGAGTAATAATTTGAAAAAAAAGCCGGAGTATTATATAATGGCATTCCTGCTATTCTGGCGAGTGAGCTATTAACAAATGCAGTAAAACTAATTTATTATTATATTATAATATAGGTATTAATTCTCAATGTGATTATAAACTAAATTATCAATATATACTCCCACTGCTCAATGTCCAGCAGTGGTCCTAGGAAGCTGTGGTGTGATAATGATTACACTTTTTAGGAATATAATTATTATAGATATCCAATTTGTGAGATTGTCGACCATTGCTAGCTAATGTTCCTCTTTCATGTCATGTCTGAAGTCTGACGAAGGGTACCTATTTTGAAAATTGTTTCCAATGTTATTTCATTAAATAAGTCGGCAGGGTACTAAAATTCATTCAATAATGAGTCATTGTATACTCAATCCAAATCAAATCTACTCTCTTTTTTACCATTGGGAAGTATCATCACCACTTCTAGAGTAATTTTGGAGAAAATCTTCAAGAACATCAATTAAGCTGGATTTATACAGCAAATAAAATAAAATAAGATAACATAAGATAAAATAAGAAATGCCTCGGCTAATGCATTTCTTATTTTATTTGTTATTTTCTGTATAAACACTTTAGGGGTATCTCATGAGGTTAACTGTTATTTCTTATTTGTTATTTTATCTTATTTTATTTTATTTGCTGTATAAATCCAGCTTAAGTTCTCATTGTGTCCTCTATGGAGTGTTATGCGGCGAACATCAAAAATTGGAGACTGGCTCAGATCATGATTCAAAGTAGGTATTTCAGGAAAAGAAAATATGTCAAGAATTTCCCCAATCTGTATTTATTCTTGTCTTGAGAGTTGAAATAGTTACTTCAGCAACTAACATCAAAGTACCTATAAGTATAGGCGGGATGGCCAAAAAAAGGTCATTTTTATTATTACTATTCTCTAAGTACTAGTAGGTACAAATTTAAAAACAAAAGTGATGGTAGAGATTAGAGAACAAGGTGTATTCTTGGTCGGGATTAGAGAACAAGGTGTATTCTTGGTCGGTTAATTCCCAGAGGGGCCGAAAAAGTCTATAATTTTTGTTTGGAAATCTAATGAAATAGGATTGCATGCACAAGCTGGCAATGCCGCAACTGCCGCTAAGTTTTTTGATAACTAGTTTGTTGGATGTTGGATTTCGCTCGATTGACGATTTGCTAATGAATGTTTATTGCGACTCGACCCTCGACTTGGGTCGTAAAGTCGTTCGGAAGGAGCAGAACAACGGTTGGTCGGTTCCGAACTTAAAAATTATCGCTTTTTCAAAATTTTGGCTGGCGGTGGTAAATCGCCCAGTTCGAATTTTTGTTACTCCACTCCTGACTTGACTTCAGTCGGGTTTGGTGTTTGATGCTTTCAAGTTCGTGACGTAATCGCCAAGGCCAACCTTAAAAACCGACGTACGTAAACCGTAAATTCGCTGTTGTGCGCCGATCTTTGGAACGATGAGCAGCGGGTTGGATGTGTTGAGTGGCTCGTTGAGGGTGCGAAATAGCACTTTTAAAAGCCCGAAAAATTTAAATAACGTGAAAAATTGTAGAAACGACGAAGTGAAGGCATGCCCTAGCGTAATGTCCCCAGAAACGAAGAGATTGCTGCCGCCGAACACTGAAACTGTTCAAACGAAACCGTTCCCTATTCGTGGTAAGTGGTTGATTTTTAGTTTATCATAATCCTGGCTACTCGTGAAGACGCAAGCTACTCGTTGCACTCGATTTTCATTGAAGCTTATTCGATTCAATTGCTGTCATGTCCCTTTAATTTTTTTTTATTCGATTTTCTCAACAGCTGAAAAATGTCAATGATGTTTTTATTAATACGCATGGTCCGTGTATACACGTGCGTCTATGGATTTTTCAAAATCCTGCCCTTGTCATAATATAATTAATTATAAAAGAATTTCAATTATGTATTCGAACCAACTTACCCTCGTAAAAATGTATTAATGAATTTCTGCACTTGGCACTAACAACTTTTGTTTTGGAAAACTAGTAAAAACTTAAAACGTGCTTTCTTTGGATGAACTTTTTGGAACAAAGTTTCTAATAGTTCTTTCAAAAAGAAAAAATAAAAAAAAAAGATAAATTCTTAACAGTTGTCGGCCGCATTCCTACAATTCCGACTGTTTTTATAATAAATAATGTAGCTGTATGCTGTATATATACTCATGATTGAAAAATTGTTCTTTTATTACCTAAAAACTTTACAGGAATTTCAATTTAGAATTTTTATACAATGGCCGGAATTACCAATTCCTTATTTTTGTTCCAAATTCTTAATCCTTCAGAAACACCAAGGTGCCAATTGAGAAACTCAAAATCAATTATTGTGGGAACTTTTTAAACTTTGGTGCAATACCCAATACCCAATGATTCTTTTAGAAAATGTCCATAAAAAAAAACTAGACATTTTTTTCTAGTCAACTTTTCAAACCATTGATTCAAATTTTTACAGTCAATTTTTCAAAAATATTAGGGCGTTAACTAATATGAATTCGAAAAGTCCCCTTATTGTCTATTGTCATTTCCGGTGAGGGGTGAAAATAGGGTAAAGGGAGTTGAAAAGTTTGTTCTCTACATTTTTTAGGCACTTTCTGAAAAGACAAGAAGGACTTTTTCTAAAACTGTGCATTCATTTGAATCGATTTAAAAAATGTACAGGGTCTGTTCCTTATAATTAGTGCGTCTTCTACAGCTTAAACGAAAAAAAAAATTGAAAAAAAAGTTACATACAAAAGTTGTAGGTAGGGTTTTATCTCTATTATCTTTTGCAAATGTCAAAACGGGCAAATGACAGGTGCCAACTGTCATAATGACAAACCTTTGCATTTTTTAAATGGAACACACTGTATTTTTTTGGCTAGAATGATAGATTTTATTCTTCAGATTCCAAATATACCATATATGTTGATATTTGGTTCAGCTGTTTTTACGCTATTTAATTTGGCTTTGAATTAAGATATTTAAACTGCTGGACACTCGAACTTTCACATATACAGATTTCTAGAAAAAATTCAAAGTTTCATATTTTCGACACAAATAAAGTTTTTTTAACGCGCTTTGTGGATTTTAATAGCCTGTTTTTTTCCGGATAAAGCTTGCCGTAGACTTATCATAGGACCAATGGGTTATGATATACGGGGCGATAAAATTGAATTTTGCCTAATAATCTGTATGTGTAAGTTCAAGTGTGCAGCAGTACCTATAGTTGAAAAATCGCTGATAATGTCCTCAAAATGCAATTTGATACTCAGACATTCTCTCTTCAAGATATTTCAAAAGAAAAGCAATTTCAGGAAAAATCGGTTGAAACATTTGAACCATTTTGTGGTTTTCAAGGCAATTTTGGACATTATTTCCTGATATTTTAACAGAAAAAGCCATAATTAAGCACTGGATCTGCATGACCAATTTTGCTCCAATTTTGGTTATTTCTTCGTCAAACGCGTACTTTCGTACTTTTTAAGTCTACTTTGAATGGGTTTTGAATGAAAAAAAGGTGAACAATCTCAGACAGTCATAAAACGCAATTCTCCACAAAATTCCAAACTTTACTTTATTTCTAGACAAGTAGGCGCTTAAAGATATATAATTTTAGGTCGGTTCCAACCCGCTAAAAAACCGTCCCAAGAACGGTTTCGGAACTACTAAGCTCTGTATACGAAATTCGGATTCTTCACACTATTTTACGTTTTGCGCAGGATCCTGACGGTGAAATTTACGATTTCCTGTTGGGTTGGAACAAAAGCTATTATGTACCTATGTACCTATCTACATATAATAATGAATAATAAAAAATAATATTTTTTTGCGGCTAAGGGGTTATGGATTGCGGTGCGCCTGCGACAGGATTTCCGGGAGAGAGATCACTCGAGATCACTCTCATTCTAGTTGCTCTTTCTGTCCTGTCCATTGACCCTTTGCCTTCAGGAGTTTTGTTTAGTGAATAGAAATCACGAAAGATTATGGAACTATCAAGTCGATGAAAATTTGACAATAATGACCTAAGTGTGCTCTATGTGTAGGTAAGTCATTGGACATCAAGCCGACAAACACCTCCACACAGAGAAAGTTACTGAAGTTAGTAACAAATGTATAATAAAATACACGGGGTAATTACAATATCTGTTGGTTTGATTTGTGAAAGAAATAATAAGTAACTCAAAAATAAGAAAAACTGAGGGTTATGAGAATATGTAAATGTAAGATTCAAATAATTTCCACAATATGTTATGTTTAGTACAAGTACATCAAAATTTTCACATTGAATAGAAGAAGGCTCTAGTAGTCTGTGTATATTAGTAACTCATGATCTTTGGGATTTTGGAATGTTCCTCCAATTGAATGAATTTGAATCATACAGAAACAGGCCAATTCCAATCACTTCTCTTATAATACTGTTGTAATCAAAAATTATATATATGTTATATAATTTTGTAGCGGCCTTAAAATATAGGTACTTCAACAGCTGACCCGGCTTATGGATTTTTTTTTTCTGCTTCCTAACGATATCAAATTTGATTCTGTCGATTGCCATAAGCGAGAAAACGATCAGCAACCGAGTATTCTGTCACAAGATCGCGCCCTTATTTCAACCCTTTCAGTACGTGCAAACCTTATGGCTTTGGTTTTTCACTATTAGATTGTTCTATAATGTTAATATGTTATGATGCTATGAAAGAGAAATTGAAAAAATAACCTTTTTTCTTTTGCAAAAGGAAAATAAATTTTCCATATGCCTAGCAGATGTCCGGTTGCTAAATTTTCATTTTTTGGACCTAGCACTGACATAGTTTTCAGTGGTTGAAATCCCCGAAGTGAGAAAAAATCTGTCATTAGCTGACGGTTTATAAGTTCATAAGGATGCAAAGACAGCCTTTATATCTGTAAATCGGTTCGTTGCAGAAAGAAAAGTCAAATAAGCTTTTTGTAGCAAAGTACAGGTCTCAGAGATAATCTTAATGTTGCTGGAAATGGCAAATTAACCTTTTTCATGTTGCAATCAACTTTTAAGTGCCTGTAAAAGATTTTCTACAACTTGAATTTTGCAATTTACTTCTTCAAAAATCAACAATCAATTTTTTTTTTGAAATTGTATTGCATAAAAACATTTACAGAGCTGGTTCGAAAGCCCAAGAAACGTCTTGTAGCAAACTTATTCAGGTTTAATTTCTAAAGTAGCAGGTACAACCACTCGCCCAGTAGATTTATATTTAGTAACACTATAAATTAATAACCCTATTTAACTTCATCCCAACAGGCGGAAATCTTTAACATCATTCAAAATATTACAGAAATCATTAGTAGCCTAATATAATGATAATTAGTACACAAAAGAATGATAAGATATTAAATTGATCATAACGAGCGAAGATAAACTATCTAAGTAGTACTTTTTGTTTAAAGCAAATATCAGATAGAAATAACTGGAAACTGCATAAAATAAAAATTTCGTTCAGGTATAGGAACCTACTTGAAATAATTTCGAAGCACGTATTTTTTGTCATCGACTACGTGAGTAGCCTCACATGCGAATATATTATTGGAATTGCATGCACCTGAGTCATGGTCCATTAAGTAGTACTTCTCTCCACGATATTGCAAAATGTTTGGTCCCACAAGGGTCCCACTAAATGGATTAGTATGTAATATTTTTTATTTATTATTAAAAGTGAAACATTTGATATTAATTTAAATGTTCTATAATACTTACGCTAGTTGATTTTTATCAACGATAATAATTATTATTTGTGTAATTTATATACGCACAAAAACTTGAAAAGGAAGGAAGCACAGGAATTCCAGGAAAAAACTTTTTAAGTATAACAGACTTGATAATCAACTAGTCAGTTTCTATTTTTGACTACACTAAAGTAGCAGAGGAAGAAAAAAAAATGGAAAATTACTTGGAACACTTTTACAAGAAGAGGTTTCATCAGTTGTCACCACCTACTGCTTTATGTAAGAAATCGAAGGTGAGGTCTTATAATCTCTCTGTGCTGTAGTTGAAATAAATAAATAAGACGGTTGTCTGAGTAATGAAATTGTATTCATCAAGTATTTCCACTATTCAAGAAGCCAAAGAAATTAAACGTAATTGTCTGTTTGAGAATTTAAAATTAGTTGATTACTTTAATTTTCCAAAACTATCTGTATTGATAAATTATGCTATTAAAATATTTCGCACTTAGCTTTTTGTTCGCTTATCGAAATTTGTTTGGTTTTTCTATGGAAAGGATATGAACAGAACATTATCTTAAAAAGAATTTATCTATATCAGTGCCATTAATTATAAATTGATTTCAAAACAGTAGAGGTGATCTTTGTTTCTATAAGCCACGAGAATAATATTGTTTTTGAGATTAAGACTAAAAGGAATCTTTCCATTGAGCAATAAACACCATGAAGATCAAAGTTTCTCGATTTCTATACCGTTCAAAACATTTCACTTAGGTACTAATTTGCCAAAAAAATATTTGAACTACATAATTATGAAAATGATAAATCTGGTATCAGTACCTAAGTGGATTAATAATTACCTATACCTAATGATTATTCGGTCTCACGTTTATCGATTATAAATGTAAGTTTCTGACCAGCTTGTCAATAAATAAATTATGACTCTAGACAGTTAACAAAAACTGG